AATTATCACTATCACTGACTTGGGCCGGCTGTGGTGGGTGGCGGGTGAAGAACTGGTAATGTTTTGATGACTGGGCGACCTTGTGCGCACCATGTTCGCGCCGCTTACACAACACGGCGGATGGCGGGAGGTTTGGATCCAAAAATGGCGCGGCTCGCCAGCCGCTCTCCGCGTAAAGGGGTACACGCACCGCGGAATGTGAGCATCCCGGGTTCCGGCAGGGCACCGTGTAAACGTGGAAACGCGGAATGTGGGACCGCGTAAAGTGAGGGTTAACTGTACTGTACTGTATATCGTTTCTCACTATTGATTTTTTTGTACTTTTGTATTTATTTATGGTCCTTTATATTTATTATTAATATTATTATTATTATTATTATTATTATTATTATTATTATTATTATTAGTAGTAGTATTAGTATTATTATTATTATATTTTCGCCTCCAGGCCCTGATGTGGGCCAATGACCTGTGCCTCTGTAGGCTAATCCCGTAAAAAAAGGTGAAAATATACGGTATTATTTTACTTTCAGACATAGCGCCACCGAAAGTTATAAACAACTGAAACATTTCGATTTCGCTATTCTGAGCGGAAATGGATAATAGTGACACAATTGAATTTAATTGATTTTAAGTAGTTTTCAGTCTTCGTCTGTGAGGAGATGTTATCTGCGCCTCATGAGGTATCGATTTCATCACGCGAATTTTTTTCAACCAATCACATTTGATTTTTCTCAATGGAAGCAGCCTGGGTACGATTTTAATTTCATTGACCGGTTTCACAATGGCCGTGGTGGAGGTTGGTTGTTGTTTGTGCTCCTATGATTATTTTAAGTTTATTGCCGAGTTTTATGAGAAAGACGATTATTCTATCCAATTCTTACGTATCCCTGGTCCTTCCACTTCTACCTAAGGTATTGTACTTTTGGACATGGCGCGCCCAAAGTTTTTAACTACTGAAACATTTAAGTTAGTTTAAGCTAGGCCTACCGGGGTTCTGTCCCCGGCTAGGGGTTAGGTTAGACCCGCCAGGGGTCCAGGGGCGGAGCACCCGGCTAGGAGTTAGGTTAGGTTTTATGAGGTTAGATGACTCGGTTTCGTTTTCTCCCCCACCCAAAACCCCAATTTCCTAGGCTCTCCCCCATTATTGTTGGGGGGAGGGGGGGGGGGTGCAAAATCTAGCAATTTCAATCCCAAAAATGGTCAGATTCGTTTAAAACACACCAAAATACTGGAAAAACATATTGGTCTACCCCTAGGGACTCGTCCTAAAGTAAAAATTTACCCAAAACAATGAAATTGCGGCGTTTTTTAATTTTTGTTCCATGAAAAATCAACGGTTGTGAAGTAGTAAATAATTACCACCTAACCCAATTAGCCAGTTTAGTTGCAACAAGTGAAAATTTGCTCTTTATTTGTCCTATTCGTCAGTGATAATGTTCGCCACTTAGGCTGGCTGTCATTCTCACAGTCGTGGCGTGACCACCCAAGGGAACAGACGTGCCCATAGGTGCTCTTGGCTTCCCGATCGTCCCACCAAGGTCCCCTCTGCCGGCACGTTTTGCCAGCATGGGGGGTCGACATAAACGTCCCAGACGAGGCTCTCTCATAGACGCAGACGCAGACATCTCTGATACTGATGCCATTACCAACTCGCCTGGTCATACTGAATCCAACACCCTTCAAGAGTCAGACCCCAGTGATTATGACAGTGACGCTAATGTTTCTATGGGAAACGCTAGCCACAGTGGAAACACCAATGCCATGGACCCTATCACCCTGCCCTCTGCCAAACAAACAAGTAAGCTGAATCTCCACTTCCCCAAGGACTCTCTGAAAACTGTAGAGGAACGCTTTAACTGGATGATGAAGTACTGCAGACAGCACGGTTTCAGCATTGAATTCCGACAAGGTAAGAACCGGAACTTTATCAAGTGTCAGACTCCTGAGGCCTATGAAACACTTAGTACTGTTGGCTTTGACGGGGTCGTCCTGCTGCCCCCCCCCCCCCTGTAGACGCGAATGAATGTTGCCACATCCTAGTGAAACGTTTCCCCTTATACGCTGACATCGAAGATGCGCGTGACTTTAACTCTAGTAAACTGAGTATACGTCGCCATTACCGGGGGAGAGTTCCACAACCCGCTGTCATTGTCAAGTGGAAGGGAAGGGAGTGCCCAACCACTGTGAATGCCCACCCACTCATACCCCCACTGTATGCAGAAGCCTATCATCCTGAGCCTGCATTTTGTGTTGTCTGTTCTCATTGGGGTCACAACTTCACTGCCTGCTGTCGTCGTGATCGGCCGAGATGTCGCTTCTGTTCACGTAACCACAACTCCGCCGCCTGTGCCCAGAAAATCAAAGACCACCTTAATAGTGGTGGGGTGGGCTATGTAATTAATCCCAGATGTTGTAACTGTGGCGGCCGGCACAATGCTGACTCACGGCAATGCCCCAATCGCCCGTCTGTCCCAGGGGAAAAGCCTCCCCGAAGGCCAAGTCTTCTACAACGCCCCCCCCCCAGTCTTCCGGCCACACCCCCCTGTGTGCCCTGTGTCCCCAACAATTTTTTTTTTTTTATCCTCTTCGCCACTGATCGGCTTGTTAGCCGCTTGGGCGATCGGTCACGTCTCTTTTCCTTTATATTCTTCACCAAAAGGTCGGCTCGCTAGCCGCCCGGGTGATCGGTCACGTCTCTGTCACGCACTGTTGGCAAATACTGGGCATGCACCGGCTCCTGAATGTACCTGAACCCGCTCCAGTGTTGGTCAAGTCTTCTCTTGAAAGAGCTCACACTCGGTGCCGTCACAACACTCTCTGGTAGATTGTTCCAAGAGTTTACAACCCTCACTCCGAAAAAGTTTGCCCTCACGGTTTTCTGGACTTGCGGCTTCTTCAATCTTGAGCTGTGACCCCTTGTGGGGCGAGCGTCCACCAGCTCCAAGTAAGGACACTCAACTGAGTAGTGCCCCCTGAGATGCTTATAAACCTCAACTAGGTCCCCCCTTGCCCGTCTGTAGTATAAGCTAGGCAAGTTCAGGCGCTCCATTGTCAACATACACACCTAGGTCCTTCTCACACACAGTCTCAACTAGTACATTTTCTTCATCCCGTTGGGACATATGGTACGCCTCCTTACCGTTGGTATGCCCCAGGTGCATCCTCTTACACTTCGTGACATTGAATCTCAGCAGCCATTCCTTCGACCATTCCTGGAGCCCACAGAGGTCCTTCTGCAGCTCTTCACAGTCCGCTTGGTTCTTAATTTCCCGAAATAACTTGGCGTCATCGGCAAACATTTGTATGGAGGAGTGTACAACGTCAGGCATATCATTTATGAAACAAACAAACAACAGCGGGCCCAATACACTACCCTGCGGTACCCCACTTGTTACAGGTACAGATGACGATTTCGTGCCATTAATCACCACACATTGCTTGCGGTCATGTAGAAAGTCTTCTATCCACGCTAGGACATTTCCCCGAATTCCGTACCCTTCCAGTTTGATTTTCAGCCTTTCGTGGGGTACACTGTCGAAAGCCTTGGCAAAATCTAGGTAAATATTGTCGATATTACCACCCCGTTCTAGAATATGGGTCCAAATATCCAATACCTTGAGCAATTGTGTCAAGCAAGAGCGCCCCGGCATAAAACCGTGTTGGCAATCTTTTACAAGGTTGTTTCGTAGTAGATGTTCCATCGCTGCATCTCTGATAATACTCTCAAGTACTTTACATATTATGCTGGTCAGGCTCACCGGTCTATAGTTGTTTGTGGAGTGCCTTCTTCAACAACACCTGCCTCTGCCTGGCCTCATCTGGCTACAACACAGCAGTCCCGACTCCCGGCCGTCTCCTAACTCAACTACTACTGGGCCTCCTCCTCGTCTCTACTCTGAGGCTGTCAGGCCTTGCGCTCCCACCGGTGCCCCCCCACAACCCCCCGCCAGTGACATGACACAGATCATATCCCTCTTCCAAGAATTTACCAACCGTATTGAAAAACTCTTCGCTACACTCTGTACCACCATCTCCCACCTACTCCTGCCTTCTGTTGCCACCCAGTCACTCCTCTCTGCTGGTTTGACACAAGCTGTTGGTCCCCCTGTGAGCCCCCCTGCTCACGGCCTACTCCACCGCCGGCGGCCTTCACTACTGGTGTAGTGCCTCCCGGGCCTGCCCTGGTGTGTCCTGCTGCCCCCGAGCGAAGTCCTGCCCCATCCTCACAACACTTGGTGCCTCAACCTGTCCACCACCCACCGCAAGCCGCGCCCGTGTCTGAGCTGTCTCCACCAGGGCTACCTGGACCTGAGGACACCACCCCCGGCTACCTGTACCCCACCGACATGTCGACGAACACACCTTCACAATCACACTAAAAGGTGTGTCCCTCAATGTTGTCAATGCCTATGTGCCTCCCTCCACCCCTACTGTACCTGCCCCACCACACCATATCACCTCCACCCCCACTGTACTTCGCCACGCCTAGTACATTGGCAACCCTGAGCCTGGCCGCACTGTTTGTAAACTTTGTGGTCAACAGACTCTCACACCCTCTTTCACCACATCCTCATCTGCCCTATGACCTCCCCCTACAGGGGTGGCACCTCTTCCCTCCCTGACCAGATATCCCTCCTCCTAGTCACAGGCCTGGCACTTGACATTATTAGTGACCTGCCACATTTTGCCATAAACAGATAAATTGTACCGGGAATTTTCCCCCCACACACTCATCATTGTCACTTTATGTAACTTGCTGACAAAACCCATGACCCTTCAGGCCTTTTACGCCCTTAATGCATGAGTCATAAAGGCAAGCATGAACTCCGCACGCTTCCCAGTTGGGCGCTGTAAACCCTTCTGCGCTTCACCTAGCACAGGATGTAAGGGGGTGCCCAATAAACTAGCCCCCACCGGGACAATCTGTTATCACTACACACTGATGACGTCATAGTAAGTGTTGACAAACAAAACGATAGTTGTCAGTTGTGGTGTGTGTGGTACAGGGTCATGAGTTTACTTGATAAATTAAACATTATATTGATTTCAAGATTATTCGATGCCTAACATATTGATATAGTTATAAGCATGATGAAATAACAGGCTATAGCAGTTAATGGCCGCGATGGTGAAGGTTAGAAGGCTGTTGTTGACACGTTGACAAGAGAGGAACAACCCAACGAGGCAATACATCACATTATCATGGCTATATCATCAATAATTCGTCTCTCGTATGTTTAAACTGATATGAAAAAAGGAATATTAGATTTTTAATCCTTAAAAGTAAGTTTGATGTGTATTATTCCCTTAGTATTTAGTGACAGTTTGAAAGCAGGGCTGAATTAACCACAAGGTAAATGTATAGAAAAGCACCGTGTTCTTTGGATGTTAAAAATAAGTTTTGGTAATTATATAGGACTAACCTGTGGGCTAAATTGATATAAAACAATTATAAACACGCCGAATTTTCATTGTTGTAGTTTGTGGAAATATGTTAAAAAACTGATATTTTTATAATAAACTCTTCTTAACATGTGTGGTTATGAAGAACAGACCTAACCAATTTAACCAAACAAACCTACCTAACTTGACCTAACTTCCCCGGTATATTAAACAGAAATAACTTACTATGATATGGTAAAATTTGAGGCATTTCTGGACATGAAATGATATGGCTGCATCGGCGCTATGCAGCTCTGGCGGGTTAATCCTATATATTAACCTATGTTTTAACTATGGCATTTGATATGAATTTCCTCAGGAAATCACTATTTTTTTTACATTCCCCCCCAACAATCTTAAGGGAAAAAGTTGGATTTTTTTTAGGAAATCAAATAAATTAAATACCAACCAACCAACCAAATCTGACCTGACCTAACCAGGGTTGCACCTTTTCTGTTTCCTACTGTTCGGCTGAAGAAAACTGGTGACCGCCAAATGTGTTGTTGTTCTTCGCGCAGTGTACACTGATTATTACACTTTGGACAAATACACCGTGGTTTCTAAAAAAGAAATTGCCTCACTATTTTTCTAATGAAACTCTGCAATTGATGTAAAATAATCTCTATCACAATGTCGGCACAGCTCTTCCACCTGGTCAACCATATCTGGTACTGAAAATTCAAATCTCCGCTCCCGACGCACCCACACACTGTTCATTGGCTAAGACAAAAAACTCTTGCCCAATAATAAGTCTCCTATCACTATAGCCAACAAGGAACTCCCACACCACCCCCGCCAGCACATGCGCTGTAGACGCTCAAGAAGCGAACACGGAGGTAACGGAGCACTGGCTGGGGGGGGTGGGGGGGTGTCAGAGCTTCTCCGCAAGACGTAAACAATAAATGGCGACACTTGTGACTGACCAAATATAATATTAATAGAAAATTAATATCTCGGTTATCCTTAATTTCCGGGGGAGATATCATAGAAAGGACCTCATGACATTTAGACCCTCGAGTTTAGGCCTTGATTTGGGTTTCTTATACTGAAATCTTTGTCACAAGTTCAGAAGTTGGATGAAAGAATATTTCAATTTGTTTGAAGATTTAATAAATTATTTTGGCAATTTCTGGGTAAAATTATCATTTCGATCATCCACCTATTTGAAATGAAGATCATAATCGTTCAAAACACACCCAAAACCATCAGAAAAACATAATTTCAACCTAACATAATCTAACCTAACCTCACTACCACCAAAAGGAGTTGTTCGATTTTGTGAATTTTTTCCACGGATGTTCTTATTATAGTAAGTAATTAAACTTACGTTTTTACTTTTATCCTCTTCGCCACTGATCAGCTTGTTAGCCTCTTGGGCGATCGGTCACATCTCTGTTATGCACTGTTGGCAAGTATTGGGCATGCACTGGTTCCTGAATGTATCTGAACCTGCTCCAGTGCTGGTCAAGTCTGGTCTTGAAAGAGCTCACACTGAGTGTCATCACAACACTGTGGCAGGTTGTTCCAAGAGTTCATAATTCTCACTCCAAAAAACTTTGCCCTCACAGTTTTTTGGACTTGTGGTTTCTTCAACCTTGAGTTGTGAACCCTTGTGGGGCAGATGTCCGCCAGCTCCAGGTATGGACACTCAACTGAGTAGTGCCCTCTGAGATGTTTATAAACTTCAATTAGGTCCCCCCTTGCCCATCCTTTACTGAAGTACGAGCTAGGCAGTTGCAAGTGCTCTAATCTCTCATGTCATAGTACAGGCACCAGTCTGGTGGCCCTTTGGATATTTTCTGTCAACTGACAGTCACTAGCATATCTCGGGGACCAGACTGGGTGACAGTAGTCCATATGGGGAAGCACCTGGCTGTGTCTTGAAGGGCGTTATGAGGGACGGACCTTCTAGACATTTACTAAAACCTAATAGAACCTGACCTAACCAGCCAAAGAATACTACCTAACCTTACCTAACGTCCTAGTTGCCCCCTGGACCCCCACCATATTAAACAGAAAGTACTTGTTTTGATATATGATACTAATGAAAGCAACTTTGTTGAAGCATGTTGGTGTAATTTTTGTGGACATGAGAGTATACTCAGACCGAGCGGGTCAGTTGTCAACAAACAGAGCAGACAACAATGCAAGATGATTCAGAGTAGAATTACGGTAAATACTGTAGTGAATTTATTTTTGTAGAGACATAGTCATACATACAGAAAGTGCAAAAAGAAATTAAAGAAATAATTATCATAGGGTATAAAGTTTTAATTATCTACAGGTTTCCACTGTGAAGCAATGTGGAGAGGTCAGAGGATACGTGGCACAGAATGCCATTGCTAGGGAAGGCAGCTAGGTAGTGTCCCGGCTAAAAGGCGAACATTGAGGCAGCTAGCGTCCTTGAGACTGTGATGCAGTGTGTACACTGACTAGAATCATTTTGTTCTTTTTTGTGCTTTCATTATTGCTATTTATATGCTTAAATTATTGCTGTTTGTATACCTACAATTTTAAGTTTTAATGATACAATCTACAGTTAAAGTTACTTTTAGGGGTGAATCTAGTTATCTGAACAGAGGCTTCGTAGTCAGTTACAGAGGGTTTACTGTACATTTAGTATAGTTACATTTTTGGTCTGGCGCTCCAAATTCCAGAAAACCCCTTATCCGGTAAAACCAGGTCCCAAACATGCTGGATAAAAGGTCCCATACCTGTAGAGTACAGTGCATATTAATACTGTATTTAATATTTTATATCCTCCCACAAATTATTGAAGGTGTGATTATGAAATGCTCTAATAATCCAGGAATACTGTGTACGTATAAGCAAGTATGGCGACCTGTGGTGTAATGGTCAGCATGCTCGCCTCGCAAGTGAGTGGACCCGGGTTTGATCCCCGGGCAGGGTGAAACTATGGGCAAGTTTCTTTACACCATTTCTCAACAGTAATTGAGAACCTGATGTTAATTGATTTGTGGATCGTATTCCGGGGTAATGGTTAGCCAGTTCAGTTGCCGAGTTGTCCGGTCTTCTCGGACTATTTCTTGACACTGGGTCATGCAGCTCGTTAACTCAGGGTGTGGTTGTAGTGTTGGTGACAGCTTCTGCACCTTAAACAAATTTACGCCAAGGAGGCCCTTGGGCCGGTCATCCTCGTTACACAACGTGCCACTATTATTATTATTTATGGCACATGAATAATTATTTTTTTGTTGTAAAAACTGCTATCCCTGTAAATGAGTACAGTCTACAAGTGGAGGGTATACAGATAACACTGACTCCCTGTATTGTAATACAGGGAGTATTGCTTTTATTTTTCTATTCAATACGGTGATGCAATACGTATTTATTTTTTTCCCCTGTTTTTAACTCAAAACTTCCAGAAGATTTTCCATTAACACAAATTTTTCTTCTATACTGTATCTCAAAATTCGATCCATAGCTTTTAGAGTCTTTTTAGAATGGAGGAATGTGGTTGCCAACCTTCAGATATGAGGACGGTGCTCTGATTGTTTGAATGCTAATTTCTGCAACTCGAGAAAGGCCTGTAAAGTACAGTGGAGTCACAATAATTCATGAAATACAAATTCACATTCTTAAATTCGTGGGTACCTCTACAACTATCTCTCTCTCTCTTTTTATTTTTTATTTTATTTTACTTTCAAATACCATGTACTGCTGCAGCAGTGTTTATTTACCATTACTTAAGAAATCCTAATACAGTAGTTGATAAAATAACAAATCAACTCTCTAATGTGACTTAGAAATAAAGAAAATATAATGTAAACCTACTAAGAAAGAAAATGACGAGCGAGAAGTGAACTCTGTGTAGGAGAGGTGGGAGGTAGGGCGGTTGGGTGGCTGAACCGAGCTGAAAATTCCCTTCCTTGCTCTGGGAGACTCCTTCACCCCCACAACCCCGTTAAAACAACAGTAAGCAATTTCACCCAAATTCCTTTTTGATTTAGGTTTATTTGGTGCTGGGTTAATAAAATGTTTTTGTAAAATAATAACTTCCCCCCCCCAAAAAAAAATTCCCTCACTCAACCCCAGCCCACACCCATGCTTGTCTTAATGTTGGCATACTGGTGTCACCCAGAGGAGGATTATGAGAAGGGAAGGACATTTCTACAAGTCATTCTATTGAGGCTTGGTTGTATTCCAGGATTTTAAGATGAATCCTTCATGTCTCTTTTCCATGCAATACTGTACTTTGGATCAACTTCTATGTGTGTTAAGGGTTGACCACAAACCAAATTTTTAGTGTTGTGCCTGAAGGATTACTCTTATTTCTCACTGGGGGGACTGGTTAGGGATCCTTTCATTCTCTTTGTGTGATAAAGGTGTTTGTGAGCAGACTGGTTTAATCAGGATTTTCTTCATAATGAAAGCCAATACACTCACTTTTGTGTTGCATGCTTTCCAATCATAACCCTGTGGAGTGAATTTTCCTCTTCCTTACTAAAAGGGCACCCATCTTGGGATGTGTGGACAATTCCTCCAAGTACAATAGTCGGCCTATGTAGTACAGTACAGTATATGTGGCACCTGGGAACCTGTGTTGTTCTTTACAGTCCATGCCTCTCTCCTCCCAGTGGTACTAGTTGATTAGAGCATACTGTACATGGTTGCCTGATTCACTGTGATAGATATAAATGATGGATTAATCTAGAAATCACAGTTTACTGTATCGAGTGACTCGGATCTCTCTCTTTTCCTTAAGGATGATGAGGAGGTGGGAACTGAGGCATTGAGCCATAATCTGTTTGGGTTGGAGGTCATACCCAGGAAGTGCAGTGGGAGCTCTTGGCCTTCAGACAGCTGTTTTGTCAGAGTTATCACTGTCATAGGGGGACCTAGGAGTTAAACTTGCAAGCTTATTAGTGAAGTACATTATTCTTAGTCCAAGCTTGTCATGAAATTGAATTTCAGTGTTAATCCTCACTTTTGTTGGCAAAAATATTATTCACACCATATGGATTCAGTTTAATCTAATCCAAAATAAGTCTACCTAACCTTTTCCAATCCAATCTAACTAATACAGGTACCAGTACCTGTACTTTATTCTAAACTGGATAATGTTATTGTGATGTATTCCTCTGGTACAGACTGTACAGAATGCGTGGATGGAGTTTGCTGCGTGTTTGGCCATGGTTGCTGTCATTCGTGGGTTATTCTCGGGTCAGTCTTGTAGATGACTTGAAGCACCAAACAACATCAAGCATAAAACAGGTACTACCTTAATCTTACAGAGCTTTAAACTAAGTTTAAATTACTTTGCTAATACTGTATGACTACTTCCTTAAATAAGATGTGTAAAAATGAAAATTACAATCTGACTGAACAATAAAAATTTTTAGTTGGACATTGACAGAGAAAGTTTATAACATATTTTTTGCTTGTTTAACCCTTTGCGTACAAAGTGTCTCTCTGTGTTGGATAAAGTCGTTTGGCTTTAGCCAAATCAAATACAGTACAGGTATTAAAATTGGTGCCCAGTAGGTTCGGGTTAAGTAACCTAATGTAATCACATAAGTAAAGCAAAGTAATTAACTCATGGAAACATCAGTGCATATACAGTGAAAGAAAATCAAGACAGTGATAACATTGTACAAGGGAGTCTTCATTATACACTGGGGATGTGTTCCAGAGAAACAAGACTTATAGTGAAACCTTTTATAATTAGGAATCTTTCCACATTAGAATTAATGTAATTAGGAATACAGTATATGTGTTCTAACTTGTACAGTAATACCCCTTGAAAGCTCAGGATGTGTTCATGGAGAGAGATCTTATAGTAAATCAGCTTATAATGGGGTCAATATAACATACAGTATAGTATTTGATATGGAGATGCTGTACAGTATGTTCATTACAACATTATTTATTATCTTTGAGTGATACATACAGGCAGTCCCAGCATTGTGGACGTCCGCCGATACGAACGAGTTTAAATTTTAAAATGACAATACAGTACTGGGGGCCCCCAAATCCGCGGATTTCTATTTCACAATCCTCTATTATTCGCGGATGACACTCTGGATGTACCCAAGAGTGTCTGTGGGTAGTTTTAAAGTTGCTGGCATTTTTTCGGCTGGGACAGGGAGCCATTCATTCTAGAGACAGTAAGTCATTAGCGCAATGCTGTTGATAGCTTTTGTCCTACATTTTACTTTTATCCTCTTCATCACTGATCGGCTCGTTAGCCGCTTGGGCGATCGGTCACAAAAGAGAAACTTAATAGCTAGTCGGTAAACCTGACAAGGTTATGAGTTCCATTTAACTCTACTGTATTTGTTAACTACTATGGTTATATTTTCTTTTATGTTGCAGTACACTTGGTGCAAAAATATATTTTTAAATAGACTTTTACTGACATTTTATTCTGTTTTTCTTTTAGGATGTTCCATATTTGTTAACTTGAAAAAGAAATGATGTACGTATACAGTAATTTATTTTCATATACTGTACAGTAGTTTCTTTTCATATAGTATTTGTTGGTTGTAAGTAGTTATTAATATACTTATGTTATTTAAGAGATCTTTCCTGAATTATTCTTGATCATGTGACTCTTACATGAATTTTTCAGAAGGAGGGTGATTCTTTTGGTCAAGGCAACTCCAGTGAGATAGGTAAGTTGGCAGAAATATTAAATAAAACTGTATGTGTTGCCTGATGCCAAGTCAGAACAATTTGTGTACATACCCATCAAAGGCTTTGGGTTTTAGGCCAAGGAACCCTAAACTTGGCCCAAAGAGCTAATCCAAAGATTCTCCAACTTAATTTTAGTAAACATAGCTTTTAAAAGGGGCTACAATAACTGAAACCAAAGCTACCATGGAAGGCTGTGAAGTGACAAGTCATAAAACCATACAGTACATACATTTCAGTTATAGAGCATTTTATATCATCCAATAAGACTTAGACAAATGGAAAATTATGATATAAAGTCTGACATTTCTGATTTTTCATTATCAGCTGTTTTTCTTTTATCTGTGATAATTATATGTATGTACAGTTGCCAGCAAAAGTTCTCCCACAGTCCTGTGTAGCAAGTTGTGGGAGGACTTTTTTACTGGCAACTGTACCTCAATGTTTCTACTGGTACATTACAATGCAAATGTTTTAGTAATGACAACATAGAGTATTATGTGTAATAAAAAACAAACTATAATGGTGAGGGAGGTGGTGGTGATGAGTGAAAGTGAGGCGTCAGTTTCTATGAATTGTGCACTGCCAATCACAGGTGATCAGCTGATAGTTACACCCTCAAATCTGTTGATATCTAGTGGCCAGCAAAGTCTTCAAACATTGGCTGGAAATCATACTTTGTCACCTAATTATTCCCACTACACACCATACCACCCTTACATGACTGCAGCTGAACTATTTTGTTCAGTGTTGACAGTGATTGATTGATTTAAGATTTTGTTTTTGTTTTTTTACTTACCTGCATGACTTATGGCATTGATAACTGATGAGTGTATGAGACAAGAGGATGAGAAGTGCATGCCATAAGTAATTTTCTTTCAGGTAATACATAACAAGTGGTGGAATTAATTCATAGTAGCCAAGATGAGCTGGAACGCAAACAGTAATAGTGACTAAAGGAAACTTTGACATTATAAACTTTTTAGAAGCATGTTGCCTCTTTTGTTACTAACTGTCTCATGGTTGCACTGCATACAATATCAATCAATAAGTAAAAGACCAATCAAGAATACTCTTAAATTATATTATGGTACCTCAAGGAAACACAACCCTGCCTTGCCAGCTATGAAACCAGTTTAAATTTATTAATGGCAATGGGACACCGTGTAATCAGGAAATAATGGCCGACCCATACAAGCAAAGAAAATGGCATGAAAGCAGTGACAATGATGATGGTGTCAGATTTATTCATAAATGTATTAAAGATTGTACCCAAGAAATTAACAAAATAAAATATTTAAATTTGAAAAGATTCAACTGCCTGTACTGACAGTACAGTATAGGTACAGAACTTATAACAACTTCAAGTACTGTACTACCATATTTTATGGCATAAGCTGCATGGCCAGGGAGTATTTAGGAGAAAACCTTTATGTGGATTTTCCTCCTGTGGCCATAGTTTTCTTAAAATAATATACAGTATATAGTACCAGAAAATGTGAGGAATAAATAAAAAGAATACATTGAGTTCTGCTATAACGCGTGTTTTGATAACGCGAATTTGCTCTAACGCGATTTATGAATTAGGAACGATATTTGTATAACGCGAACGCTTGTTTGCTATAACGCGATTTTTGCTTACTATTTCTCCAATTTTGTGGTACAGTGGGGTATGCTATAACGAATCTAATTGGTTCTAGAACCTTGTTTGTTATAGCATTCGTTCGTTATAGGATTAATCCGTTCCAGGCCCCCAAATACAGCCACTTAACACTGAAAAATATAATATAAAATTGTAAAAATTGTAAAAAAGTGCATAAATATGCATCTAAACCCCTGAAATAAAGAATATCATTAATATTTGTAATAAAAAAACAATAAATTAGAAAAAAAAAAAAAAATTAAATAATGTTCGTTGTAGGAGTTTCGTTCGTTATAGCATACCCCACTGTATTAACTGTGAATATAGTAAAGAATATCAACGAGAAGCGTTCTGGTGATAGAATTCCCGGTGATGATCGTAAAAGAAAGGATATAACACTTGAAGAGAAGCTCGATTTTATCAACCTCAAAATCACCCTTCTCCCCCATCAAGTAAAGTGTTACATTTACTGTATGATTTCATTATTAGATATGAATGTAACATTTATTTAGACTGTGCTATCCTTTGTATTAGGCTAACTACTAAATTTTTTCGATTTCGAGTAATCTGCACCTAACCCTATTTTCTCCATAAGCCCTGTTATTTCTATTACGCGATTTTCTAAAACACGATATTTTACATGAACACAATTATCGCGTTATAGGAGAACTACCTGTACCAATAAATAAGTTACAAGATAAAATATTGTATGGCCAAACTAGTAAATAAAAGCCAAATGAAAGTTTAACACAGTCGCCATTTACATATATTTGTACTCACTGCTTTGCCATAGCAATGGAGACACTACCTCCACCAATTCCCGAGCAACTCCCCCCCCCCTCCCCCCACATGCCTCGCCTCTTCCTGCTCCCCTACTGAGCCAGCTAACTTTGTGCAAAGAAAATGTATATTCCCTTTATGTTTTTGCCTTTAGGAAAATTATTTCTTTTGCATTTTTCACAATATGTATGTAGGATGGTGTGTGTATGTAACGGAGTAAAAATATATGAAGAAAGTTACGTATATCTACCTGAAAATACGAGATGAAAAACAACAATAACTCCTCACAGCTTGGCCCAGTAGCCTGGTGGTTACAGTGATGAGTCTATCCTGGCTACAATGCTGCCAGCGATGTTAACAGATGCAAATGTGAACAGAAAGTTAAAAGTAAATCTTCATTTGTATCAAGTCTTTGTAAATTTAAGACTAAAGGTTACAGGTACAGCATTAATAGATTGTAATGCTTGTAAGAGTTCAGAAATAGTTACTGCTTAGCTACCTCTGAAGAGTTGGGTGTCTGCCATATGGATGCTAATCATCTCAGGTTATCATCATCAGTACATAAGTTATAAATTGAGCTATTATATTTACAAAATATATTTTTTTTAATTAATTAAAGATAATAATGATGTGTTTAAGTAGGCAATAACATATTTTAAATTCTGGAGTTGGGTTAGATTGAATTTAGCCTACTGGAGACAGCAACTGGGGGATTCATTAGCTTAGGGGAGACCGCAACTTCACATATAAGATGCAGGCTGATTTTTTTAGCCACTTTTCAGAAAAAAAGGGTGTCTTATCGATAAAATATGGTAGTACATGTACTGTACAATACTTGTAAAAATCATAAATTTGTATGAAATGTATCTGGCCATACTTGGTGCCACCAGAGAGTTTCTTGAATGTCAGGTAAGTCAAGTTGTATGCTTCTGATGAACAAAAGGTTACTTCATCTGCTTCTTGGTAATTTATCAATTCTCCTGTTACAAGGATTGAGGGTATTAGGCAAGGCAAGTTAATCTACCTTGTGTCCATGTGAAGACTTACTAAAACATGAGAGGATTTTTTTACAAGTATAAACCTGCCAGTGTTCTCTACATGTTCATACCTATTCTCTGTATGTTAATATTTGTCTTCTGTATGTTCACACGTGTTTTAAGGAAGGAACTGATACAGCATACCGGTATATGTTATGGTATTGATGGTTTATTTGTACATCAGAATCTAATCATGGAATTAAAAGTTGTTCAGTGTTAACATTTATTACACTAGAGGTTAGGCAAACTTTATTCAGGTCATCAGCACTTATGTACAATATTTTCATGTTCGTATATAACAATCTGTGTACAGTATTTTTATTTTCATAAATTTTTCAGGTTTTGGAAAGCGCCATGTGCTCATCATTTTGTTATTCTTGGGATTTGCCGGTGTTTATGCTATGCGGGTTAATTTATCTGTGGCCATCGTTGCCATGGTTAAATCTCGTCCTCGGTCTCAGAACCAAAATGAACAAATTGATGAAACGTGTCCAATACCTGAGGCTCAGAGAACAAAAATGGGTTCTTCAGAAATTGTAAGTACAGTACTGTACCTCAATATTTTATCAGTTTATAAGATGTTTTCATGGGATCTTTGTTTTACTCATTCTCTGTATTTTTCCCAAGTTCATTGTTAGTGTTGATACTGGAAAACCCTGGTGTAGGAGGATTTGATTAACAAAAATTTGCAGTCACAAAATAAAAGGTCCCACACATTGATTTATGAGTGCAAATCCCAAAGTTGTGAAAAATATTTCTTTAGTACTGTAATAATGGATATGCAGTATGCTAAAATAATGCAGTTGTTTTTACTTCCAATATGCTTACTTATTTAACTATCTATCTTCATTATTTTCAATCACTTGCAATGTTATTAAGTCCAAATATACACTTCCAATGTGTCATTATTCTCTTCCAATCACTATTCAGTATGTAAGTAGTAATCTTCCTGTTAGCTGGAATCTGATCTCCAGGACTCTTCAATAGCTGGAATTGATATCGACTCAGATTTTTTCTGGAAAAATTCTCTTTATTCCTGTGTCTGTGAATTAGTTTCTGGGGATGAAAATCAACCACATTTTGTGAGAAAAATCCGGAAAATATCCAAACTTTCCTGTTCCGATCCTGGGAAATAATATTCCGAGAGTTCCAAAAGGGTGTGTGAATGGAAAGGCTGCTTGGCTAACTTGGGCTATAGGCTTGTGTGTTGTGATTAGCTAATGCTGTCATGTGACTGCATAGGGTGCCTTTGATAGGCTGATGCATCTCCCAGCTTATCACTTCTAAGCCTAGTTTCATGACGCACTTAGTTCATAGTCCTCTGCCATTGTACAAGGTTAATTCCTCACTCGCTGCTTTTTTGCATTAATTTGCATTCTGCAGTGCTGTGCATTACTGTGCAGTACCAGGACACAATCAGCCAAGAATACAGTGTTAAAGCAGTGTTAGGATTTAAACTGTGATTACAGTTACATATATTGTGTGAAAGTACCTTTTGTACAGAAAAAAGGGCTTACACTGGAGCACCTTAGCTTTCGTCTTTATTCAAGACATCTTCAAGTCATGAGACCCACTAATCCCTTACCCCACCCTGAGAATGGGTGACCTGACATTGTATCAGAAGATCAGTAATAGGAGATCACTTATCCCCATTCCCACCTCCACTGTAAATGAGAAAAGAGTTTATACACAATGGTTGACCTGCCATTGCAGCAGGTTAGTAACATAAGACCCACTAATCCCCTACCACACCTTCATCGTAAGTGTTGAGACATGAAAAGTGATTACGGTTACATATTGCATTCAACAGATTGGACAGTTTATGCCATCTATACCGGTTAGGCTCAAAATGACAACACCTGCTAAGTACAGAATACAGTTATAGTGTACATTTTATTATATATATATATATATATATATATATATATATATATATATATATATATATATATATATATATATATATATATATATACAGTACTCCCTCTTTATCGACGGGGGTTACGTTCTGTAAACGGCCGTCGATAAAGAAACCGTCGATACCGTGATGGTTACGTAATTTTTCTAACTATTATTAGCATATGTTGAATAAATGTACCTTTAAGCATTAATGCGTTTCCTTTACGCATAACCTTAAATAATAGTGTATAAATAATAATATAATAAGTGGACAAAAATACTAGCAAACTTACGATTTCATTTATTGAAGTGAACATCGGTCCTTACAGTAAACAAAACAGTGTACAGTACAGTAAAAGTCCAAAAATCCGGATGCCCAAGGCAAATTGTTTACCATTTATTATTACAACACTTTACACTGAAACGCGGGTAGTTTCAACAAAAATATTGTATATTTCCATTCAAGTATTTATTCAAGTCAATTAGGAGGGAATATTATTGTAATACAACAGTTTTTTAACTAAACCATTCGAAAAGTGATTACGGTAACATCTTTTGAACGAAAGAAAGCGAAGTCATTGTTTTCGTCACGATTTTATCCCACTTTCCACTGTAATACGTACGTCATTTCAACAAAAATATTACATTTCCGTGAATGTATTATATCAAGCACAGTATGAATAGAATATCATTGTAATATAACAGAATTTTAACCGAAAACTATTAAAAAAACGAGTAACATCTCAAGAACATCGGAAGCTTAGGTTTTTGTTTTCGTCATGTATTTTATCCTATTTTACATTGAAATACGTCACGTTTCAGCAAAACTACTATTTATTTCCGAGAATATATTCATTCAGGCGCAGTTTAGGTAAAATATACGTGTGATGTAATAATTTTTTAACTGAAAACGATTCGAAAAACACGTAGCCTCTAGCCCTGTTCAAGGAGAGGACTGGGAGAAGCTGTTTGGTGCTGCAGACGATGACAAGGAAAATGATTTTGATGGATTTTAATGAAAATATTCAGAAATATGGTATCGTAATATTTATTCAAGTCAATTAGGATATTATTGTAATACAATACAACAGTTTTTTAACTAAACCATTCGAAAAGTGATTACGGTAACATCTTTTGAACGAAAGAAAGCGCAAGTCATTGTTTTCGTCACGATTTGATCCCACTTTCCACTGTAATACGTACGTCATTTTAGCAAAAATATTACATTTCCGTGAATGTATTATATCAAGCACAGTATGAATAGAATATCATTGTAATATAACAGAATTTTAACCGAAAACTATTAAAAAAACGAGTAACATCTCAAGAACATCGGAAGCTTAGGTAAAGTCTTTTGTTTCCGTCATGTATTTTATCCTATTTTACATTGAAATACATCACGTTTCAGCAAAACTACTATTTATTTCCGAGAATATATTCATTCAGGCGCAGTTTAGGTAAAATATACGTGTGATGTAATAATTTTTTAACTGAAAACGATTCGAAAAACACGTACCCTCTAGCCCTGTTCAAGGAGAGGACTGGGAGAAGCTGTTTGGTGCCAAAATAAAAATCCGGCTAAATAATCCGTCGATAATCGAAACCGTCGATAAAAAATCCGTCGATAAAGAGGGAGTACTGTATATATATATATATATATATATATATATATATATATATATATATATATATATATATATATATATATATATATATATATATATATATATATATATATATATATCTCAGAAGAGGAGGATGTTGTGACTTAGTCCATGCTATGAATGGTGCACGTGTTGAATGTCTACTCTAACATACCCGAATGACATGTACCCATGCACCAAATTAAACTGAAACATACTGTCAATAAGCTGTTAATTTTCCAAGCATCATATCTCAGATATTTTCCCACAAACATATCAAGGTATTATATAGTTATGGAAGAGGAATTTTATGAGTTTTGCAATGGTGGCTTTGGATTTTTTATATGACTAATTATGGGGAGGATGGGAGAGGAAATAGAGACAAATGTGACCTACCAGCACAGCTGATGGGAAGACACTGATGGACAGTGGAACTACACCAGTGTTTTGGTACTTTCTGGAAGCTTCACTCGCAAGATCATGTATTCATCTATGATGCACGAAAATTTGACATAATTATCAGGAGAGCATTATTTTGGGTTAATTTTTAAATTTAATGGCGCGCTTCGCGTCACCGTTGCAAATAATGCTACCCAATGATTTGACACAATTTGCGTCATAATGTGCAAGAGGGCTAATGAGATAATCCATATACTAAATCAGTAGTAGGCAGCTACCAAACAGGGAGGTACTACCGCCTGGGAAGATATTGGAAGCATAATGTGTTGTCTAATGGTAGACCCTACTGCCATATGGCATCACAAAAATTGTGACCAAGTCCCAGGTTGCTGGTCTGACTTTCTGCCTCATTTACACACAATTGCAGGGTCTCAATTGTTTCTCTTACATGACAACACAACATACATATAGCATTTCTCACTGTTGATTTTTTTTTCATTCTTGTATTTATCATTATTATTATCACAGTGTTGTTATTATTATTATTACCGTTAATATTTTATTTTACATTTTATTATAAATTTTATTTCCTATGAATTATTATTATTACATTTTCGCCCCTCGGGCCACGATATGGGTGGGCTAATCCCCGTAAAAAAAACAAGAAAAAAACTCTAATATTTACTTTATATTGTATAAGATAATTAATCGACGATAATTGTTTACAGGGAGGAGAATTTGACTGGGATGAAGAAACCCAAGGGATGATTCTTGGGAGTTTCTTTTATGGCTACCTTTTGACAAACTACCTTGGAGGGTACTTGGCTGAGAGACTGGGTGGACGACTAATTTTTGGTACTGGAGTAACACTTACTGCTCTCCTCACTGTCATTTCACCTCTGGCTGCAAGACATTCCTCCAGTGCATTTGTCATCATTAGAATTCTAGAAGGAATGACTGAGGTGAGTATTACAATATAGTATATTGTATTTTCCAGCTAGGAGGGCACATAGAAGTCCTCCATATAATACCCAATTCTCACTCTATAAAATTGGGATTGGTTAGTACGTTACCTTCAATGATTTATGGCCAGACCAGTGAGGAATGGGGAGGGATGTGTATACCCCAACCTAAAACAGACTGGGATTTGACAATATTAAAGTGTGACACTGTTATAGTGATGGCATCCATTATTTTCACATATCATATCAGATGTCAACCATAGTGAGGGAGTACAGGACTTGCAGTGGGGGTTGATAGTGGCTGAGACAGTGAGGCCAGCACAAACTGGACAAGTTACCAGCTGAAATGCACACGATGGCATTGTAGGGAACTTGTGACACTAGCACCTCCAGTGAGGTAGTCACAGGTTATCCAGTAATTACTAACAACTATCTACTCGGGGTTCACAGGTAGGTGATACACTGATCACTTCATGCACTATACACTAAAAAGTAGGATTTCTTAAGGGATCAGGCTCCCACAGGACTGACTTTCTTTTTGGATGAAGAATAAAGCTATGAGCATGCTGATGCTCTGGTGAAAGCAGCTGCTTCTTGCCCTTTGGCACATCATTCCCCTCTACCTGCCTATGATATGAAACCAGTAATAAGAGCTGCCATCCGCTCGAGTTGGCAATGCAGGTGGGATGTTGTTGGAGCAAACAAGCTCTGCGACGTCCACCCTGCTTTAGGTGCCTTGAAATATCAGGGACTGTCGCACCGCTGGGAGACTGTTTTGGCCACACACAACTGACTCGTGGTTTTGTAATGGAGAGGGCACCCCCTCCCCATTGTGATGACTGCTTGGTCCCATTGACTGTTCAACACTTCCTAATGGAGTACCCCAGTGTCAGAGATCTTTGTTGTAAGCACCTCTCTCAGTGCCAGAGGGGGAACCAGGTCTTACTGTCTCTCTTTGGTGCTGGGAGGGTAGCGTGGGAGGGGACGTCATTTCCTTCATGGAAGAAATCGGCCTTCTACACATGCTTGAGTTTATCTATTAATGTTTCAATGTTTTTTATGAAAGTTTTATGCTATTTATTACTTATGTTTTTTACCTTGCATTATTTAATTTTAGTCTTCTAAGCCTTTATTGTAATTTGGCGACATATGACTTGAGCTGTTGCGTCTCCAGGGATGTAATTACCACGATCAATCAATTAATAACGTCCTTTATGTATTTGCAGGGCGTCACCTTCCCAGCCATGAATGTGATGATTTCACACTGGATTCCTCCTCAGGAGCGAGCACGTTCCTTGGCTCGTATTTGTGGTGGTATGTTTCTTTGCTTTCATATTTTCATTCAGATATAATATGAGATGCTCCAAATTTGCCACAATATGACATGTTTAGTGACAAGCAATAATAACTATGGCTAACCATCCTTCACTTGGTAGGTCAAGTTTATGCTCTCTTAAGCCATTGTTCTAGGACCAGGAAACCTTGACATAAGTTACCTATATGTAATATAAATACTGTACAGTAATATAAATGATTAATAAATCTCTCCTTTAGCAACAATAGAGTAGCTCTAAGGAGAGGTACAGTAATTAGAAGCCCAGCTTTAATCCCTTGTGGACAAGATGTCTTGAATAAAGACAAAAGCTAAGGTTCTCCGTTGTTTCCCTTTTCCCTGTGTGATTTTATCAAGATTTATCTTATCCACATTTCCAGAATATAATTTACATTGCTGGAATTCTTACAATTTGATGATCATTTTGAATATAAACATCATAGATTTTGCATTAGACATACAAATTTTAGATATAATGTTTACTCTGAGTAAATATGTTATCTTTTGTGAAAAATATATGACATTTATATTCAAAATATTCCTGGTCTTACAAGGAATCCAGCAATGTCAATTATATTATCCTAACTTTAGTTTGAGGTATTATTTATTACTGTACCTGGTTTTCCCCCCAAAATTTCTCAGAGGGAAGAGCCAGCAAGTGTATTGTGAGAAGAGGGGGAGGGAGTCGAGTCCATTATTTGAATGGACATTAACTTGGCGACTGTATTTCTCTATTTCTCTTAAGTATTAATTGTGTGCATGTACCATCATAAAATTAAGATGTTATTTTTACTAGAACATAGGTATTGTGTTGGAAAAAGTGGAGTTTGGGGGTCAGCTGGTCTCTATTTCATTTAATCCCATATGTTATGTTATTCACTTTACGCGTTTCTCACTTTCCGCGGTACCCTGTGGGTTACATTAACCGCGTAAAGTGAGGGTTGACTGTATATATATATATATATATATATATATATATATATATATATATATATATATATATATATATATATATATATATATATATATATATATATATATATATATATATATATATATACATACATATATATATATATATATATATATATATATATACACATACACAGTAGGCTCTCGCCAATAACGACTTCCACAATAACGTTTTCGACAATAACGGTAAGTTACAATAGATACCCATTTTCGATAATAACGTCTGGATTCTCTTGAATAACGGAAATTTCGCGGGAAGTGTCCGAGCGCATCAATGATAGCGTTTGTTTGCCGCCATGTTGATGACGTAATTGTCCGGTCCGCCTCACTCTCACTCTCACACACACTCAGTGGAATACAGCGCTGCGCCCACGTGTGAGATTTTTGCCTCTATAACCAGTGGTTGCTAGGGTTGGTGATCAATAATGGCTTCTGCATTTTTGCCTGTGGGGGCTAGGGGAGGTGGTGGAGGGAGTGGTTTGCCACCTGAATGACTGGGAACTTTTAAAGTGAGGAAATTGAACTGTCCTGAGTCTACAGTGCGAAATATTAAGAGGAACTTAGAGGAGACCAAGAAGAGTATTGCGCTGGCTAGAAATATTTCGGTAGTGATGGAAATGCGAGGCGAGCTATGAATGATAAAGGCGATAGAAACGGGTTGTTCGTGATAACCGAGCATTTTCTTGTGAAATGGTTAGCTTGTAGAATGAAAGACAGTGCAAGTGTTAGCGGCCCTCAGATACGGAACAATCATCACACCAAGCACCTCAAAAATGCCCCCAAGCTAAGTGTTATATTACTCAAACTCTTTATTTTGATGGTTGAATAACAGTTCTTTTTATTTCAGCTAACAAAAAGTGTTAGGAGGGCTTCAAGGGGAAAAAATGGGTGAAATTCTTGTGGCGGCAGCACCAATAAACCCTTTTTACATGTATTTTAATGTCATACAAATAATGTTTTCGCTAATAACGTGTTTTTCAGGCACCTATTAAACGTTATTGGTGAGAGCCTACTGTATATATATATACAGTCAACCCTCGCTTTACGCGGTCCCACTTAATGCGTTTCCACGTTTACGCGGTACCCTGCCGAAACCGGAATGCTTACTTTCTGCGGTGTGTGTACCCTTATACGCGGAGAGCGGCGCGAGCAGGGTGCGCACAAGGTCGCCCAGTCATCAAAACATTACGGAGTTCCTCACCCGCCACCCACCACAGCCGGCCCAAGTCAGTGATAGTGATAATGATAATGAGGATATGGACTTTGAGGGGTTTGACAAAGGGGCCCTGCAAGCCTCTGTGGTGGATAGTGATACAATTGATACAAGTGATACAGGTGAGGGCCAATAATCTGCCCTCTGCCTCGGAACCAACCCCCCATCCCCGTGTGCCCAGCCATCTTTTCTACTAATGTAAGTTTTAAAAAACCTAATATTATTGATATTTCTCTTAATTATTTATTGTGTGTGCATACCATCATAAAATTAAGAAGTTATTTTTACTACAACGTAGGTATTGTGTCTGAAAAAGTGGAGTTTGGGGGTCGGCCCGGTCTCTATTTCAATTAATCCCATGTGTTATGTTGTTCAATTTACGCGTTTCTCACTTTACGCGGGCCGCCGTGGGTTCATTTGACCGCGTAAAGTGAGGGTTCACTGTATATATATATATATATATATATATATATATATATATATATATATATATATATATATATATATATATATATATATATATATATATATATATATATATATATATATATATATATATATATAATAATAATATATATATATATATATATATACACATGTATGTATGCATACACAGCTAGACCCCGACTTACGACTGCTACGACTTAGACCGTCGGGACTTACGACCGCCGCAGACCATTTTTTTTTTAATTTTTTTTTTTCAAAATGACACACGCATTTTCTATACCGAAACGTTTCCAGTTAATGTAGTCTCCATGTATAGTTAGAAAAATATGGGGACCCCATGTGCATTCAGCTGACTACATTAAAGGTAAGTGCTCAGTCACACTGTATCCATTCCTCATTAATTATTACTTTCACTGTACTGTATCCATTCCTCATTATTTATTACTTTTACTGTATATATATATATATATATATATATATATATATATATATATATATATATATATATATATATATATATATATATATATATATATATATATATATATATATATATATATATATATATATATATATATATATATATATATATATATATATACAGTATAGTTATTTATTTATTTATTTATTTATTTTATTTTTTTATAATTATTATATTTTTTTTTCAGGATGCCAACTTGGAACTGTGATAACATTGTCAATAAGTGGATGGCTCACTCAAACTCCTTGGGGTTGGCCATCAGTTTTCATCATTTTTGGTTTGTATGGCCTTGTGTGGGGGTGTTTGTGGTTCATGTATGCTTATGACACCCCGGATCTCCACCCGACAGTCTCCACTGCAGAAAAGATTTACATCAAGCAGGGCACAGGAGATCACAGGAAGAACGAGGTAAATCTGTTTTCATAATGACACAAGATTATCTTATTGTTTCAGATGCAAATGTATTGCTGTATTAATGCCTATAGAATTTTAATTTTTAAACCTTTCCCTACCAAATGCAGGTTGATTGACATCAAGAGCAAATATACACTGGCATTCTCTCTCTTTTTTTTTTCATTCATTCTCATGCAGCAGATATGTTCTGTTAAGGTACAGTGCTCTCCTTCCTTAACAAGATTTCAAGTCTAGTTTGCCTTCTACTTCACACAAGCCAGCAACAGGTCCTTCCTGAAAAGTTACTCAATCCAATACTCTTTAGTTAATCTTGCAAACTGTTACTTCCTGGATGACCATCCCTCTCACTTCGAGTGCATCCTTCACTTGATCCTTCCATTTCCTTAGTCTTTCTCTCTCCTTCCTACCATCCACCTCTAACTTCCTCTAATTATGTTCAAACTACTCGACTGGACATGATCTGCTCTCTACTTAACACCTCTATCTCCTCCTCATTTCTTCCTAATTATTTACATCATATGCAAATTTGTGTATGAAAACCCTAAAGTGATAAATTAGGTCATGTGCAATTTTGCATATGTAAACCCCAAGAGCGTTAATACCTGTACCCTTCATATAGGCATCTCCAGATATGCATTGTTACCAAATTCATTTCTCTAACACAATTAGAGCAGATGTGAATAAATATTTATTCACTTTTTTGCTTGCCATAAGTATAATTGCTACTTAGCCATTGTTTTTATTCAAGACATCTTCAGGTCATGAGACCGACTAATCCCCCACTCACACAATGTATAACCTGATACTACATGAGACCACTAATCCACCACCCTCCCCCACCTGACATTGATCAGGTCAGTGCAGACCAGTAACATAAGACCCATTAATCCCCTACCACACCTCCATCAGAAGATTTCTTATGTTTTCTCATAAAAGAATTAAGTTCCTATCATCATTATTATTATGTTTTTGTGACTGTGAAGTGAGCAGTGTAGCTTTGATGTTGTCTGGCGAGCATTTTGCTCACCAACTTTAAGGCCAGGACGAAGGTTACACCTCTAGTCCCCACTCTTCAGACTCCCCAAAGTCTGCATGGGACTCGGGTTGATGTCTCCACTCCACCTTAGAGTCCCTTTAGCCTCAAAGAGGACATGTGATAGTGACCATATTTGTTTTTTATGATGTGGTGAGTGCTGTTTAATTGTTTTGTATTAATAGTAGTACATATTGTAATAATTGTTTTTTCAGTGATACTTGTGGGTGTCCGACTGGCCAGGAACCTATCCTATTGAACCCCTTGTTACAATGATCCTGATATACGATATTTTGACCTGCGATGGGGTTTTTGGAACCTAACCCCACTGTAAATAGGGGTTTACCTGTGTCACTGAACAGAAGTCTGCCTTTTATCTCTATTCATCATCACTGCTGTCACTTAACTTCCACATTGTGTGGTTTTGTAATAATAATGCACAATTGTAGAAACTGATCATTAATTAGAACAGCTAGATTAAAAACCCTCACTTACCTAAAAGCTTCTTTACAGAGATTGGTAGAAAGTAAAATGAAAATGGGTTTTGTGAAATTATTTATTTTTAAGCAAAGGAGAAGTAAATGTATTGTCTGTCCATTTTCACATCAAACTGGAAATAACACACATGTTTTTTCCTATTCTTAAGAAACTGGATGTACCATGGCTATCCATATTGACATCGACTCCATTTTTGGTGGTGATAGCAGCTCACATTGGTCAAAATTGGGGTTTCTACTGCATACTGACAGAGCTTCCAACATACCTAAAAAATATCCAACATTATGACATGAAGCAGGTACGTTTTTTTTGTACTTGGATGTATAGTTTACTGATTACAAAATAAGTACTGTACAGTATATCTGTACATGATCAAAAATCTTTTTGAAAAACATTTCATGTTCAGTTTGGAGATCCCATAATTACATTAATCCATATGGGGAAAAATTCCTCATTTTAAAATGTTTCATTATCAGTCACATTTCTGTTACTTCCACGCGCTACCATAATCATACCCACATCACCTCACTACAGTAAAGCCTCGAGTTACGACGGTAGTGTGTCCTCCAATATTGGGTTGTAAGGCAAATCGTCATATCATAAATCGTTAGTTACCTTTTCACATCTTTTGTGTGGCTTTTATCACTTTTCCCTTAAAACAGTAAAATTAATGGAAAATAAAAACTACCGTATATACTTTAATAAATGTGTATTAAGCCTTTCATAGCGGGAGGTTACCCTACGTATATCTCGGCCTATAAGGCGTCGGGGTGCATAAGACGGCCCCCCCAAATTTCCATTTAAAAAGTAGTTTTTGAGCTCTATTCGCTGTATAAGACCAGTACCCCAAATGTGACACTTACCCACTGACTCAGTAGTCCTCTACCAACCATCCTTGGTTTTTTAAAATAAGGCCAATTCACTTCAAGTAATGTCATCAAATGTTACCCGCTGGTGTAGTGTAAACACTAGTGACGTCACTGAAGCGTCTGCTATTTACCGGTAACTGGAACTAATGTCGGTGTCGAGTAAAATTTTTCCATTTACTTGAAATGGATTTACCGATTTATTTGTTTATTTATAATATACTGTAACATATTAAACACACTGCAAGTATTTTCTTTAATTTATATGCTTGCTTCACACGAGACGATCGGTGGTGGGAGTGTTACCTCGTCTCGGTGGTGGGACTGTGTTCCCACTGTTTACCGTACTTTTTTTTAGTAAGTTCTTTTTTGTTATATTTTTTACTAAAAGTGTTATTTTATGTGGATAAAAATGTTACAATGGACTTAAAACTATAAAAAATCATCTAAGCATGCTTGAAAACATACATATCGACACCAAGATCACCCAGATTGACCAACTACATCAATTTCTATAAGAAAAATCAACTTTTGAAGGTCAATATGGCGGTCACCTTGAAAAATGGTCGCCATCTTGAATTTTTAAATGGCCAATCAGGCAGACTTGACTAGTAACCATTAGAGAATTACCATGCCAAATTTGGTGCTTGTACCACCATTTTCATGATTCTCTTGAAAAATTGCATTTAGCTGCCCCACTAATGTCACCACTCCCATCTCAACATGACACTCGTATACTGAAATATTGTATTTCATACTACATATGACTTTACAAAAAGAAATGTCCACGTCTGGTTAAATAACTCTTGTAGATATAATACCAGTTGAATAAACGAAACTAAAAAACTGGAGATTGTAATTACAGTGAAGCCTTGACAACTCCATTATGAAGTTAGGGATTAGATGACGCCAAATACAATCACCTTAATGCACTTTAAGAGAGAGGAGTCACCGTGCCAGGGCTTAATATTATCCTGGACCCTAGAGGTTGATGACGTATTCAGTGTCGGGCAGAAATACATCGATGTACACAGCACATGATCCCAATCAACTCCAGTATAGGTGTTAATAATGTAGAGGTGACCAGGTGTGTTGCACGTTGGTAGTGTTGGATGGTGATGCAGGAAAGAGGTAGTGTGTTGAGGGTGGTGTGTGGTTATGACTCACTCCCACAACCCCCCCACACCACTCACACATCCTCACAACTGTACCACAAAGCCCCCACACTACTCATACAGCATCCTCACACTACCACTACCACAACCCCCCCACACCACTCACACATCCTCACAACACTACCACAACCCCCCCACACCACTCACACATCCTCACAACTGTACCACAAAGCCCCCACACTACTCATACCGCATCCTCCTAACACTACCACTGCACAACCCCCCCACACCACTCACACATCCTCACAACTGAACCACAAAGCCCCCACACTACTCATACCGCATCCTCCTAACACTACCACTGCACAACCCCCCCACACCACTCACACATCCTCACAACTGAACCACAAAGTCCCCACACTACTCATACCGCATCCTCCTAACACTACCACTGCACAACCCCCCCACACCACTCACACATCCTCACAACTGAACCACAAAGCCCCACACTACTCATACCGCATCCTCCTAACACTACCACTGCACAACCCCCCACACCACTTACAAATCCTCACACTACCACAACCCCCCACACCACTCACACATCCTCACAACTGAACCACAAAGCCCCCACACTACTCATACAGCATCCTCATAACACTACCACAACCCCCCCTACACCACTCACACATCCTCACACTACCACAACCTCCCACACCACTTACACATCCTCACAACTGTACCACAAAGCCCCCACACTACTCTTACAGCATCCTCACAACACTACCACAACCCCCCACACCACATACACATCCTCACAACACTACCACAACCCCCCACACCACTCACACATCCTCACAACACTACCATAATAAAATTAATTATTTCTAGTGTGGTCGACTTCCTACACAAAGACAGGCTATAAATAGCTGTCTTATCTCAACCTCCTTCCTTCCCCCTACATCCCTCTGTTCTCAGAGAGGTCTTGGTAAATAACTTTTGTTTGTTTATTTTCATTGTTTGTCTAATTTATCATGTTGTATCAAAGTAATATTACTAAAAGTTTTAGGCAGCTACCAAATGGGGAGATTCTACTGCCTGGGAAGATATTGGAAGCACAATGTACAGTATTGTCTAATGGTAGACCCTACTTCCATATGGCATCACGAAAATTGTGACCAAGTCTTAGGTTGCTGATTTATCTTTCTGTCTCATTTACACACAATTGCAGAGTTTCAATTGTTTCTCTTCCTTTGACAACACAACATACATACAATATAATGTTTCTCACCTTTGATCTTTTTTCCATTTATTTATTGTTGGTTATTTAAAATAATGCCAATTCACTTCAAGTATTGGCATCAAATTATACCGGCTGGTGTACACTAGTGACTCACTTAAGCGGCAGTTATTTAATTGGAACTAATGTTGGTGTGAGTAAAATATTTCCATTTACTTAAAATAGATTTGCCGATTTATTTGTTTATTTATTTATTTATAATATACTGTAATACATTAAACACACTGCAAGTATTTTCTTTAATTTATATACTTGTTTCGCGAAAAAGGGAGGCTAGCATTATAACTGGTAGGTGATCATTAAGGACCAAACTCCGAATCCATGACTCCATGAAGTGACTTCTGTTCATCATTTATATCCTAAATTTACCACTGTCGGTAGTTTCAAGAATTAACGCAGTCATTTACTGAATATTCTTTGTAAAAAAATTAATTTTAAATTAATTATTTATAGGAGATAAGTATTATGATCAGTAAATATACAGATATGCATTACTGACCACCTCCGAACACAAGGACGGCTAAAAATAGCTACAGGCGGTCACAGTCAAGGTCACTTTCCCTGGTAGGACTTTGTGAGTGGTTTACCATGTTTCCATCACCACTCTTGACACGCAATATTTAAGAGGTAAGAATTTTATACTTGGTGATTAAGACGACCCCCTAACTTTGGGCAGATTTTTTTAATGTTCAAATTCCGTCTTATAAGCCGAGATATACGGTAAGCTGAATAAAATCGTCTGGCGGTAGCCAAAATAAAATGTCAAGCACATGAAGTGCGGCAAAAGGATTAATTTAACTTATACAATATAATTCACTAAGTATTAGTGATATTGAACTCAACTGTGGATGGAGGCTCAAAGTATGAATGAAAGCAAGAACTATCGTCACTTCACTTATTAAAAATTATTACTAAATGTCTATACAGTATATGATTGAATTAATGTTTATGTACCGGTATGCAAAATGAACAATGCAATTCAATAGTAATATGTAGTCAATTAAAACACTCAAGAGGAGGTGGAATGCCATTGTTGCTGTTAGTGTTTACATGCTTGACAATGGTTCTGTGTCTGAAACTGAAGAAGATAAGACTCTGGCTGTAGCTATAGTAAAATTAATATAAACTGATAAAGTGTGAGGCAGATGGGGGAAGGCCAACATATGTACGTACACACACGTACAAACATAACGTCGTTTCTCTGCATGAGAATTTGAAAGCAACACATATTACTGTTCATTTCTGTACATTTATGTTTTAAATAATGTTATAAATGAAAAACAGAAAATATACTCACCAATGGTGGTAAAGCCAAAAACATAAGGACACAGCCATTGATGTTGTCCGAGTTTTTACTCAGATGAAGAGCCTAAATCATCAGGCTCTGTTTCTTAGCTTTTGAACCTACATTACTATCACTTGCCCTCTTGCTTATGTTGAATAGGGGCAGAAAATGTTGTAAAATACCCGAGAGTTTTAATCCTGATCCGGTTCAGACACGTGGAAACATAAAGCCCACCAAGTAGCAACTGTTTATGTTAGTGACGTCACCAGTCTGGCAGCCCGGAAAGGTCCCTGTGCAATTTTATGTATTTATTTTAATTTTTTTATTAATATTTGTACGATACTGTACAGTAGAGTATATTTGTTATTATTTCTGTGAGAATGCATTTCATTTTATTTATATTTTTCTATTTTCATCATTAATACAAATAAAATACAGTGATCCCTTGGTTAACGAACGCCTCGGTTAACGAAATTTCGGTTAACGAACTGCCTTCCATAAGAATCTTCAATTTGGTTAACGAACAAAAATTTGGTAAACGAATTTCTTACGAACCGACCTCAACATGTTTTCGCTTGCACTGGCCGGGCAACCAGCTTTAGTATCAGTCCGCCAACACATTAATCGGTTCTAGGGCTTAAATTCCTTACTATTTTAGTATACATCAAGAAGTTTATACTATTCAATAATTTTAAAAGTTTAATATTCAATTTTTTAGTCATTTTAACAATTATTGAACATAATTGAAGGTAAAGTGACTAGTTTAATGCGCGGCATCCAGCCTCTTAACACAGCAAACAGGCGTTAGTCTCTTTCTGTTTTCACTGGAGGTAACATCTTGCTTGAGACTCTCTTCAACTAAACGCTTTTTTTCTGTGTTTCCAAGCAAATTATTGGTCATTTTGAAATTTATTTTACATATTGACAATATATAGCGCAGTGCAGTGTTGATTTAAAGAAAATAATCTTGAAATACACCAAGAGAACTAAAATTTTATGGGTAAAATGGTGCCATGGGGTGACCTCTCTTCCACCCCAATGCCTTCTCTTCTCCCTTCTCCTCCTCCACCTCCCACTTCAAATGCACATCATCATCATCATCCAGGAGCCTTCTACATACACACCTCAAAGTAAGTGAACTTTTCTACCATTTTTGTTGAATTTAGGCAATTTTCGGTGAGCTGGAACCAATTACCCAAAACCCATTGAAACAATGGTTTCGGTTAACGAACAACCTGCTGGAATGGATTGAGTTTGTTAACCGAGGGACCACTGTAATGATGCAAATTGAATGAGGTCCTAAGTTAACTAGGATTTTTAAATGTGAATTGTAAATTGAATCTTCGTAATTTGAGGCTTTCCTGTACTCACCTCTCTCACCAAAACAATAATTGTATTTCACACCACCACCAACATGGTTACCCCCCCCACACCACCTCAACACTCACTTCAACACATGAAAAACAATATTAGTGGAAATAAGACTACAGTATTGTTGATATGAGTGTTGTAGTAATATAACTATAGTGGTACAGTATATGTATGTTCCATCAATGATGCAGAACAGTATTTCATAAGGACATACCAAATATATCCTCTGGTACACTGTAGGGGTTAACAGGCCTAAATTGCTGGAGGGACCTTGCTTATATTATGTTCTGTCATATAAAGGGTTTTAGAATCTATCTTAAATTTTATCCTACTTATAGAATATATTAAATGCACAAATACAAACATATTTGTCCATTCACTTGGTTTATATCAAATACTTTACATTGCTTATAAGAATGGCTCATTTCACTGATTAAATTGACCGTAATTTTACCTATTCCTGGATAAACATTGTAAATAATGTTTGAATACCATGTTTTTAAAGACTTAGAAAGCCATTTCTTTATTAAGACAATAATGCTCAGTGTTGTGTCTAATATCTTCAGAATGGCATATTGTCAGCTTTGCCGTATCTAGTAATGTGGCTGTTTAGTTTGGTATACTCAGCCTACATGGATCACTTACTGGAAAAAGGAGTTCTCACCACAAAACAGATTCGGCAGCTTTCTACAGTTATTGGTAAGAATCCACATTTCTTATGCCTAGACTAACTCTGTATATAAGTGTAACAAACATGAAGCATAGTCTCTCCCTCGTAAGAAGTGTTTACAGTAATGAGTAATAAGGGCAATGCATCTTCGTGTAAAAAGCAGCTTGCTCAATATGTTAAAGGGAATTTTGTTTTAGTACATTTGGTTGATGTATTTTTTTTAAACCTTAACATAATTACTTTTGCATGTGAAGAAAGCCATATATGTACATGGTTTCATAAAGTAAAAAATGGTAATTACTTCGCATGACATATTAATATCATATATATAGAGAGTACAGGAATACCTTGCTGTACACAATCCCGATATTTGCATTTGATATTTTAGCACCCCCTATTTTGATATTCGTAAAGCATTTCCCTCTTATTCACAGATGAAAAATATTGATACCCTACAGTAATATTTAAAACCAGGCAGGCTAGCCTCAGCTATCATACTTCGATGTAAGGCCCACTTCACATGAACGTTTTTCCTCCCTTACTGCATATGAAATTATACAATGTATAATTTTTAAATAAACTTCATTGTCACTAAATCTTTATAAGACCTATGATAAATCAAATATAAACCCAAAATAAACCACAATAAACCCACACAAAAGTAAATAAACCAATATATGTCTTGTCTTGTAAAAAAAGAATAACACTTATGTCTTCTTGTGAGGCTGCAGGCACCAGTAAAGAGGAGGGGGACAGGGTAGGTGGAGGAGTATACCTGAAGGTTTTGCACTGTGTTATATAATCACTTTCACAACACACAAAGCACTGTTTCATGATCACAATACTGATATAAGACTGGTCACTTGATAGGCTCCTCATGTAAAAGTTAGGGGTGCACCGGATATCAGATTTTGCTATCCGGCCGCATACCGGATGTACCAGATATGTGATAAATATCCGGCCAGATATCGGATAACAGAAATGCTTAATTCGTGCCAAAAATGTGAGTCGACTGACAAATCCAGCATTATTTGATGAAATTATTAGAAATGTACCCAAGTTTGTTCCAGTGAAAGAGAAAATTTCTCAAATGTTTAAACAGATGTTACTGGAGGAAAGCTTAGCATTGAATAAAGTGTGGGATATCAACGAATCTTGAGCTGAAAGATCCACAACAAGATTGTGATGACAATGGTATGGGCAGAACACCATGAATTTATTAGGCTAATTGATCATTTACAACCTCGCTATTAATACCTAGTTGTCACCTTTTCTCAGAGAAAGTACCTACCAAGATCTATGATCATCTATGGACTAGAGTCATTGATAACTTGCAGAGGCTGAATATGTAAGCTTCCCATCTGGTATATGAACCTGTCCCTCCTTTCATGAGACAAACATTTCTTTCTCAAGACAATGGATAAAACAAGATTTTACATATAGAGATGCAGTTTTTCATGCTTCCCACTTCTCAGATTCTCATACAGGACTGAATATTGCTGACAAGTTCAGGAAGATGTGGGTTGATTGGAGTCTTGATGCCACACAAAGAAACATCTTAGTGAGAGTTTGAACATCTAACATGTCACTAGGGAGTGACATACAGGTAGTAAAAATTGCTTCAGTGCACTGTTTGATCCATCTAATACAATTAATCATCAGTGATGCTGTTTTCTTTCAAAATAGTGTCAAAGACATCCTTGCTAAAAGTCGCCGATTATCTACTCATTTCAATCATTCGTCATTAGCATACTATGAATCTTTTCACAGTAAATAAGTGATGCTACCACCCCTGTTCATTTAAAATATCTCAACTCATTGGAACAATGCTTACCTCATGCTTCAACTACTACTAAAACTGAAGAAAACTGTTCAACTTTATTTGGCTGACCATATTGAGCTCCTGGCCATTTCTTCTAATGAATGGCAAATTATTGATCATCTTCTCACTCTTCTACAGCCTTTCTTCAGGCTTATGAAAGACTTTAGTTCAGAGCTCTGTACATTATCTACAGTCATTCCCAATATATGCACATTGGAAAGATTCCTCTAAAAAATTGGTGAAGGGAATCAAGGAGTGCAAACACCAAAACAAGAACTTCAGACTTCACTTAGTGCATGTTTCTTTTCTACAAGTGGCCTCAACATATTAAATAATCTTACGTATGTAGTGGCAACTGCAGTCCATCCTCGATTCAAACTGCAGTTTCTCTCTATGGATGGTAGAGAGCAAAGGAAGTTATGGCTCTTAGAAGAAGTAGTAACCAGTCAATGGAAGCAACTTGATAAATTTAAAGATATGGGAAAGAGAAGTAATGAGAGTGAAGAGTCATTTTGCATGCTCCCTCCAATGCTCAAAAAGAACATGGGAAGACGATAGTTTCAGGGCTTGCTTCCTGGAAATAGCAGGTGCAGTTACAAGCACATCAGGTGAGAAGAGGATTAATAATGATGATGATGACTAGTCTTTCACTGAATATGCATCAGAGGTTGATCAATATGTAAGTCTTCCCCTATTAGAAGATAGTAAGTGCCCTCTAGAATACTGGAGAAAAAAAGATAAATTCCCAAAACTGAGGAAACTTGCCATCAAGCTTCTATCAATGCCAGCTTTATTTGATTTTTTTTCAGAACGATTGTACAGTACTGAGCATAAGAACGTGCTTGAAGAAAAACATTCCTGATTGTTGCCTAATAGAGGGGTAATGTTGCTGCTCATTCACCATAATGGCCAAAAGTTTGAAGTTTGAACAGGCATGATATGCTTTAAATACACCCTGTTTAATTTCTAAATTTTTTAAAAGATATATACTGTACAGTATATGTGTATTGGATGTACACTAAATGGTTTAGTTAATGAAGTTTAAAATAATACCTGTTTATAAATATTTTTTTTACAATTATTACTGTATATCATATACTTTGTACCAGTCCAATCACCTATGTAATGCCTTTAAATACTACTAGTATTAGTTACATCATTGAAAGTACCATGTTGTGTTCTGTTCATTTTGTAGAATTTATGTTAGCAGGAAAAACTGTAGCTCATTACAGTATAGCTCATTTGCATATACAGTATATAATATTAATTGCAACAATTCACAACCTAATGCTTTATATTGTTAATTCAATTGCTATAGTTAATGCAAATTTTACTTGGTTAAGAATTAAGATTTGGTTTCAACTTCAAGTGCCAAGATTTTTTTTTCAGCTGGAAATAAGTGGATTTTTTCATTTCTAAATAAAATTAATTTGACCTTTAACATACTATTTTATATTGGTACATTATACTGTCGATTCTTTTGTAAAATGCAAGGAAAGTTTCTTCTAGTTAACACCAATCAAATTATTCTGCTGAAGAAAAACCGCTAGTACAGTAGTAATCTAAATTGTTATTATCTGGTTATCTGGGAGAGTAAGAGAGGTATCCGACCAGGATATTTGCTATTATCCTGCCGGTTACCTTATCTGGTACACCTCAAGTAAAAGTATGTGAATATGAACAGCAGCGCCAAGACATGGTCATTATCATGGTGTAAATATTCATGTCATATTTCAGAAAAAAAGAAAAAACATATTAGTATAATCAATTTCACAATTCTCAAAACACTATTTCATGATTAAAACACTAAAATATGAGAGTGCAAAGCGGTATTGATTATGATGGGAGACTTAATTTAAAGGGACCATGACCGCTGAGAGAACAAAGAAATTATTGCATCTACTCACTGCCCAGCTGAACTCACTAAGCACTACAGGTGTCCCTCTTAATGATTATTTACTTAGCGATTTTTTCAGTTTAACGATTTAAAATTTTTGCACCTCTCTCATTTAATGATCTTCAATTATCGATTTAGTGATTTTCAACTCACTGGGAAAAATTTAGGAGGGAGTTGGGAAAAACTGGGGATTCTGTGCTCCAAGTGCACAGCATTACAAAGGTGTACTCTCAATGTGGCTTAGAAGTAAAGAAAATATATACTGTAATATAACTATTGAATAATAAAAATGAAGACAATTGTACAGTTACCGAAATATTTTACAGTAGAACGTCGATTTAAAACAATTCAATTTAAGATGATTGATTTAAATTGACACCCACAATTAAGGACAATGTTTTAATTTAAAGCGAATCTTTCCTATTTTGCGCGAGTCAATCTGGCGCATCATATTTTAAAATTTGCGCCTAATGTTTCTCTGGGCACGCTACACTGTCCTAAGGGCAAAGCTGTACTGTACATGTACTCAAAATATGTACTAAATGATTAATAAAATTTTTGTCTAGTGCAAACCATAGCATGATTATATTCAAATTAATCACTATCTTAAAAGAATTCCAGAATGTAAATTATATTCTCCCCGGTCACTTCTGTGACATTTTATGAGCAAAAAACAAAACCTCAATCTAAAGGACATAAATAAACAAACAAATACTTCACTAGACCTTCGGCCCAACTGTCAAACATGTCACTGTCACCTCCCCTTCCTCCTTCCCCCCTCCCTCTCTGTCCCCCCTCCCAGCCAGGGTTTGGTTGTTATAGGCTTACAGTTTTTATTTTATATAATATCACAGACTAAAGTTTGAATATAATTTGCATTGCTAGAATTTTTGCAAGACAGCAAATAATTTGAATATAAACATCATATATTTTGCACAAGAGATAACAATTTTAGCCCTTTGTAATAAATTTAATTTGAAATAAAATTTGTATGTCTAATGCAAACTATAGCATGTACCTGTATATATTCAAACTACGGTATTCACTATCTTATAAGAATTCCAGCAATGTTAATTACAGTATATTCTCCCCAGTCACTTCTGTGACAATTTATAAGAGAAAAACTTAAAATCACTCTTAAGGACAGTTGGCATCAACTGTCAAACATATCACCTCACCTTTCTCTCTCTTCTTCCCATCAGCTGATCGCGAGTAAACAGACCATTTCACGTCCAATAATTTTAGCTGCGTTGATTTATGAGTGTTTGTTTTAACATAATACTACAAAAAACAATGTTTTGTTTATTCTAGGAGATGGGCTGTTAAAATAATTAATACCTATTTCAGTTTTATGTTCCCCATTTTGGTTGTTTATCTTGCCGTTTTCTTTGCTGTTTATAAATATATTAAGTACCGGTACCTAAACATCCGGGCTCTAGCAATATGCCACATAACTGATTTTGTTGGATTTTGCTGTGTAAACTAACTCTGTCTAACAATTGGAAGGTGCACTGTATCCACTGCTTAATGTTTGTGTCATATTAACAACATGGCCCACAGAAAATGAGCAAAGTATGATGTGGACCTCTAACACTTAACTGTGTGATGTTTGATGATCTAAACTCCACCTAGATCAGATGCAGAAAATTGTGGCAGATTGAAGAAATATTTCACTTTTCTTGCAGCAACCTACATTCCAATGGTTTTATTGTTACTAATTCCCTGGGCTGGGTGTGATGGTCAACTGGCTGTTACCCTTATTTGTATTGCTGTTGGAACCACTGGAGCAACATTCTGTGCTTTTCACTGCGCCTTCCAGGTAAGTTAATTTTATAGATTTTTTATTCAAGTACTGTATGGTATTTCTCAGTATGTCTCATCCATCAAGGCCTTCTTAATGCTTTATGGAGAGCAATTTACTTTGATAATATATTGAAGTGTGAACAACCACTATGCATGATTTTCAAAATAAGCTGATGACCATTGTTAACACCATCTATACTCAGTACTGTTTATTTATAACATTATTGATATTGTTCTGTACAGTAAACCCTTGTAAGTCTGGACTACTGATGCCACACACCACACCACCATGCCACACACCACCATGCCACATACCACACCACCATGCCATGCACCACACCACCATGTCATGCACCACACCACCATGCCATGCACCACACCACCATGCCATGCACCACACCACCATGCCATGCACCACACCACCATGTCATGCACCACACCATCATGTCATGCACAGCAACATACCACTAGCAGCCTTCTGTTAAAACTAATGAAACAAAAATTGAATAAAAAACATAGGATGTCATAATTATTCTTTCTCTACTTTTCCTTAATTAGCTGGCTTGGCTTCATAAGAGTAGATTGGTTAAAGGGCTTATCATAGAACACCTGCAATAAGCAGCCTGGTTACGGGCTGAACCATAAAAAAAGTATTTTAGGATTAGTCTTCCTCCAGGATCAGTAACAACCATACAAAAGTTGGGACATATGATTATTGAAAAGTGACCATTTGAGTATGACTTAAAGATGATGTTTTGTTTAAATTTAGAATTACTGTACTGTACTATATTCATAACATTTGTTCTCTCACTTATATTTTGGTTAACATCACTGAACATATTTCTGCCTCTAGGAGTTGGCACCAAACTTCTCAGGAACCTTGACTGGTATATCCAACACCTTAGCGACAATTCCTGGGTTCCTCGCCCCTGCTGTTACAGGAGCCATCATCAACAACCAGGTACTTTGGTGAATTTGCTTTATATCACTATGAAGTGAGAAGCTTGTGGCTGTATTTAGTTATTTAATGAATATAGACATTCATAATTGTCATAGAGAAACCAGTGATTGAACTACAGTATACACTGTTATAAATTTAGACATTCTTTTTTATTATTGGTAAGCCAGTGAAGAGTATTTACATAAGATTCCAAATACATAATAGCATAATTATCTACAGCTACAATATGTACCAGTAAATTTATTATTTAATTTCTGTCACTGACCTTTAATAGCACACAAAAACTTTGTTGCATACTTTTACAGTATTTGGAATTACTACATTGTCATGTACAGTACAGTCAGACTTTGTCCAACGCAAGAGTTACGCTCTTGAAGAACTACACGTTATGTGAATTCACATTAGTTAAGTTTCAGAACATGTGGTAAAAATAGTGACTGGGACATTTGGTCTTCAGATGAGCCCACAAAACATATACTGTATACAAGTTTTAGGTGCTGAAATGATTAATACAAGATATTAAATAATAAAAATAACTGTCGTTATAAAGGGATCACGGGCTGCTGAGCAGGGAGTGGTAGAGTTGAGAAGTACAGTACAGTACAGTACCGTACAGTACAGTACAGTACAGTACAGTACAGTACAGGAGAATATAGCTGTAAATGTTCTTTACACAAATGCTTATGTACACTCAGTCAAAGATGCATCGACCCCACCCTGGCTCTCGTACTCACAATTTTACCTGGCAATACTAGGTGAAGTTAGGCTGTTTGTAGTGGGGATTGTGATTGATGGATCTATTTTCGGCTGTATCACTGTCAGGATAAAACAAAAAAAATGCAAAGGTAGCATTTTTACAATTTTAAACTATTCATCATTATTTAAGATACAGGGAATGAGAATTTTCCAAATGTTCTTATATTGGAGTAAGTAAGGAAGAAATTATATTAATGAATTGGCAACTCAACTACAAACAGCTGCCACCAGAGTTCACATATAATTTCATCATTATTTAAGCATTGCCAGGTAAAATTGCGATTACAAGAGCCAGGGTGGGGTCGATGCATCTTTGGTTGACTGTATATAACCACTTGTGAAAAGAATATTTACAACTATATTCTACTGTACTGTACAGTACTGTATTTAATTCTACAAACTATAGTAAACCCCCAATATAACGGACATCATCTATATCAGACCTCGGCTTTAATGGATACTCTGACCCGTTCGAACGAAGTTCATATATTACGAACTCAGGTCCAAAAGAGTAAAAGTAATGGACCATTCTTATCCAAACTATTACAAATAATTTCAGTAATACCCCATTTAGCCCTACCCCGCTCCTCTCTGTGGGTTACCTCTGGTGCACATAAGAAATGTTTATTCCTTTATGTTTTTTTACTTTATGTTCATGTAACAGTAAAAAAAAAGTTAAGTAAATTACTGTACAGTATGTATATCTACCCAAAATTATGTGTCAAACAATAAACATAGCTCGGTCTCACCCACTGTCAGTGTTACTGGGTGGTGAGTCTGACTCTGCTCCACAATTATAAGCTATTCTATGGATATTATTGTTGTTATCTCTCATTTAAGATATTTCTTTTTATCCCTCATTTAGCAATTATTTTGCTTAGCGATCAGTTTTCAGGAACGCATCCCAGTTATTAAACAAGGGATATCTGTACAGTATTCCGTGCGTCAGCGAGTTTGGCCAGATGTTGGCCATCGTTAATGCGAATTTTTTTAGCGTAAATAGGAAGGTGGTCTTACTTTTACTTTTATCCTCTTTACCACTGATCGGATCGTTAGCCGCTTGGGCGATCGGTCACATCTCTGTTACTTTTCTTTTTCTTTTATCCTCTTCACCAATTGATCGGCTCGTTAGCGGCTTGGGCGATTGGTCATGTCTCCGTTACGCACTATTGGCAAGTACTGGGCATGCACCGGCTGCTGAATTTATCTGAACCCGCTCCAGTGTTGGTCAAGTCTGGTCTTGAAAGAGCTCACACTCTGTGCCGTCACAACACTCTCTGGCAGGTTGTTCCAAGAGTTTACAACTCTCACTCCGAAAAAGTTTGCCCTGACCATCGCAAAATATCTTAAATAGAGAGATCATAAATTAAGGTTTACCTGCACTATTTCCAGAATTTAATCTAAGTTTTATTGCAGTAGGCTTACCTGGCTGCATCATGTAAGTCATAAGTTTTGTCTCATTTATAAAATGATTATTAATTTTCAGCAAACTTTGAGCCAATGGAAGAAGGTCTTCTACCTGGTGTCTCTTGTGTATCTGGTCCTCTGCTCACTCTACCTCATCTTCCTCTCGGTAGATGTCCAGCCCTGGAATGAGGGCAAAACTGTTAAGCGGTAAGATTCATTTACGATTTGTCTTTATTCTTTATGCATATACAGTGACCCCTCGGTTAACGAACTCAATCCGTTCCAGAAGGTCGTTCGTTAACCGAAAAGTTCATTAACCGAAACCATTGTTTCAATGGGTTTTTGGGTAATTGGTTCCAGCTCACCAAAAATTTCCTAAATTCAACAAAAACGGTAGAAAAGTTCACTTACTTTGAGGTGTGTATGTAGAAGGCTCCTGGATGATGATGATGATGATGATGGGAATTACAATGGGGGTGGAGGAGAAGGAAGAAGAGAAGGCA